ATTTCCAATTAATTATCATTGCAATTCCATTAATTTTTGTGTATTTTTTTTTTAACACATAGGATTTTCGAAACACAAACACCAGTTTAACAATCAATATACATGTCTAGTGTATATATACATGAGAATATTGACCATTAATTAACTAGCACTAATATTAAGTAATATAGTTAAACTCGTCATCATACACATAATAAATTAATCATAAGCTATAAATACAACATACGATCCGATTAACTAACAAATCCATATCGAGGCACCCTGATATTCGGAGGCTATGTGCCGAAGGGCCTCCCGCGACACTCTTTTGCCCGGCCTTGTGTCATATTTAAAGAGACTTTTTATTTTCTAGTTTTTTTAGTTGATTTCTATCTTCTTTGTTCTAATCTGAATTTTAAAAATGGGTGCATTGTGTTCTACAAAGTGATGTTCAATTTTTTATACATTTCGAGAAAATAATTTTTTACCACCTATTACCACTCTAGTATCAATATGTATCACCTTCATTTTTAACATATATTTTAAAAATTCTTGCACATAAGGAATGAGGAGTAGATCCAGCCAGTAAGCAATATTTGGTTACTAATCGTGCACAATTTTTCTCAAATTAAATTTAAGTGGATATATCTTTCATTTTAAGTGATAATTAAAAAAAACATTGATTGCACAGAAAAATCAGGTTAATCTTGCTTTTCAAAATGACATCCACTTTGATATATATTTTAAAACAAAAAATCAATCATATATTACCATCCTATACCATTGTGGTGATGTTTGATAGTACGTAAGATTATACTAGTATAGAATGGTTGTATTCATGGTTATTAGGAACATTATTAACCATCATTTATAAAAGTGATATTATTTTGAAGAACATGGTTAATATTAGTTTTCTATGCAAATTTTTTTGAATTCAGACTTAAAACAATAGAGACATAACTCATTAGATGTAAAACTATATAAAATCATAATAGAACCTGCATTAGTCAAGCTAACAATAAAAAAGATCACCTCTAAATTTATAAGATTATACCATAGTGGAATGAATATATCATAGTATAGAATGGTTGTATTCATGGTATTATGAATATTATTAACCATCATTTATCAAAGTGATATTATTTTGAAGAACATGATTAATATTAGTTTTCTATGCAATTTTTTTTGTTTTTGAATTTAGACTAAAAACAAAAGAGACATAACCCATCCACCAAACATTCTACTATAGCTTTAAAAGCATCATTCATATTCAAGACTCAAGAGCACTCCCTCTAAATGCTGCTCAATGCAAAAGTGGATTAGAGGTTGTTTGCACTACAAGAAACTTCACTTTTTGCGACGAAGAAATTCGTCGCAGAAAAGCATAAAATTCGTCGCGGAAACCTTTTGCGACGAATTCTTCCGTCGCAAAAAGGAAAACCACTTCGTCGCCCATACAGCGTCGCAGAAAGTTCTGCGACGAAAAAAATGGGTTCGTCGCAAAAAAAAACCGAAGTCGTCGCTGAAAGTTAACGATTAGCGACGATAGTTTCGTTGCAAATCATCATTTTGCGACGACATTTTCATCGTTGCAGAAAATTCGGGTATTCTGCGACGAAAACTCCGTTGCAGAAAGATTAATTTGCGACGGAGAAATCGTCGCAGAAGGTTACAAAAGATTAGCAACGGTGACGTATTTTAGAATTTATTTTTGGGTTAATTTCAGTATAGGTCCAATTTATTTTCGGGTTAATTTCAGTATTGGTCACAATTTTTTTTGGGTTTGTTTTCTGGTTCCTTATTTCGTAAACCATCAAAGATGCACCTAATCAACGCCAATATTCCAGATTTGCTCAAAATTCAGATTTGCAAGTCAAAATACCAAACCTGAAAAATTAGAAACAAAGTCATATTTGTAAAAACAATAACAATCTAAGGATAGATTTTGGAAAAACAAGATTAGAGAAAGAACAGATCTGGTATCATTCTTATCTCTCAAAAAAAAAAAAAAAAGATCTGGTATCATTCTTTCATTTTTCTCGTCTGAAGAGTAGGTCCTCTTCGTCATCACCCGGCAATAGCCGATTCGCGCGGGCAGAGCAGATCTGGAACCATCGAACTTCCTTCATCGCGGCTGGAGCAGATCTGGAACCAGTCCAGCTTCCTTCACCGCCGTCTTCTTATTCCCTCGTTCGAAGACAAATCCGACAAAGAAAAATGTCACAATCCCACTCTTGAACCAGAAACCCTCAAGAAAAGCACCCGTACAAGTCAAATCTTACCCGGATCGCTGCTTTTCCGATCGAGAGGAGCCGATTCGCCGCTGTTAGAGGCCAACACCCACGCCGCTGGTCGATCTTCCACCACCGCCATTGAAATCGAAGCTATTGGCGATCCCTTTTCTTCTCCCCCGCCGTCGACCTTTCATTCACCGCTGCCGAGATGAGCCTATTCGTGTTGTCGCGATATGGGTGAGAAGATGAGAGGAAAAAGAGAGAGGAAAAAGAGAGTTAAGGGCGGCGCGGCTAGGGTTTCTACATCTCCGCCCTTCTTATATATACGAACCCCTAACTATTGTGATTACTAAAATACCCCAATGGAAATATGTCTTTCCCTTTACGAAAAATTAATGTCTGGTTGAAGTTTCGAACAGCTGACCTCCAGCTCCCAGAAACTTCCACTGTCAACATTTAAACCAATCGGGCTACAGCTGAATATTTGTTATTCTATATTATTCTATTGTTCTTATCGCTTAGAGATTTGTAACAATTAAGTTGGAATAATTAAGTTCCAAAGAAATGAAAGAAGCTTGTGTTTGAATAATTAAGTTCCATTAGTTTGTATTTTACTTCGTTTCTAGATTAATGTTACGTTCAATAGTACGTCAATAAATAAATATATAAATATTAGTTAAGTTAGCAATTTAATTCATTAAATACGGATATTAAACGTGTTATACGAGTTTTGTATGTTTTTAGTTCGGGAGCCATCAAATGAACAGGGGGCAATGAAATGTCTTGACAATAATACGAATATGAAAGTTTCAAACGAATAAAATCCGTATGGATACATATAAGTGTATTAAACGGAGTATTTACTAACTATGGTTCCAATTATATAAAATTTCTTGAAACATAATACGACAATTGAAAAACATCACACAAAGTCTACAAACATTCTGCGACGACAGAAATCATTGCAAAAGTCCTTAGACATTTTGCGATGAAAGGCCATCGTCGCATAATTGATGGAGACTTTCTGCGACGATTGTCCGTCGTCGCAGAATTGATGGAGACTTTCAGCGACGATTGTATGTCGTCGCAGAATGTTAAAGACTTTCTGCGATGATTGTGTGTCGTTGCAGAAAGTCTCCATCACTTCTGCGACGATGGCCTTTCGTCGCAGAAAGTCTTGAACATTCTGCAACGACACACAATCGTCGCAGAAAGTCTCCATCATTTTTGCGACGATAGAAAATCGTCGCAGATAGTCTCCATACATTCTGCGACGACAGACAATCGTCGCAGAAAGTCTCCATACATTCTGCGACGGAAAATAATCGTTGCAAAAACACTTCACACATTCTGCGACAAAAAAGTGAAATTCGTTGCAGATTGTACACTTTCTGCGACGAATTTCTTATCGTCGCGATAGAATTCGTCGTAGAAAGTGCAGTTTCTTGTAGTGTTGGATGGGGGTTGGTGTTGAGGGATTTGGAGTCAAATCTCTCAATTGAAAAATCATACATTTGGTATGTTGATTTTAAGATAAATATCTTGTTTTTGTCAACAAATTTGGGTTTTTAATGAAAAAGGCCAAAATACAAAATTGCCATTTCATCCTCTTCGTCGTTTCTTCATCTTCTTCTCCATGAATCCAGAATGCAAAATCATCGCTGACCATCACAACAAAAACATGAGCCAGCCATTGATCGGAATTGACGCTAGGTCAATCTTCCCCTCAAATTCTAAGGCAAAGCTCTAGTCTGGCATCACCGCAAAGAAAACCAGTACCACCAACATCGACATCTACCTCGCCGGTCTAGGGTTCTCCCTCGTCATTGGCTGGAATCAACAATTCAACATCGATTTTCAAGCTTCCCCATGGATTCGGAGGCAAAGCCTTGGTTTGACATCGTCGGAAAGGAAAACAAAAAAAAAAAAAAAAAAAACGGAGAAGGAAGAAGGCTGAAGTTGGGTTTGTTTTGTAATAGAATATGTGCGAATGTGAGATTTTGAAATAGTTGAGGGGTCTAGATATATTCGTGGAATTTTAAAATGGCCTACAATCCTTTAATTTATTTAGCCCTTTCAAAGTGAGGATTTTGGCCAAATCGTGCATATTGAGAGCTTTTGTTGAAATCATACACAAAAAATCCCGAATGATAGATAAGGTCCGGGCTATATTATAAATTATCATTAAAATTATAGAGGCTCGAGGTTCTCATTGCATCATGCAACTTTGTTCCCACATAGACATTATAATGAACATTGATAACTTAGTTAAAGGTAAACATAAAGTAATTGATGTATTTTGAATGGAAAATGGAAACTTTACTTTTAGAATTGATTGGAGATGAGAGATCATGTAAATCAAACTAAGATAGCTATGTCGAATGAATTTGGGAATGATGGAGGCCTACACGAAGTTGAAGTATGAATGTTTACACAGATGTAGTTGTTCAAATCATTCTCAAACCAATAATGAAGTAGAAAGAAAATGTCGTGTGGGATGAAATTTAATTGAATTTAACAACAACAAAGACCTAAGCAGAGTAAAAAAAACCCCCTCTTTCTCCAACAAAGACCTAAGAAAGAGTTTTTTCATAATCATATGGTGTTTGTTATTTTTTGAAGATTTACAGTTTACTAATCAAATATTTTGAGTACTTTCTTGGCCTACATAACACTATGTCTAACGAGCCGGTAGGTTTACAATTAATATCCATGGGCTGGGCTAGTGAGTGCTCTTCAGCCCATCAGCCCGCAAGATTAGTAACAAAGCCCTAATCAAAACGTCCGGCGGAAGAGAAGAGACGGCAAAAAAGAAACTTGACTGACGGTGACGGTAAAACTGAGCGAGACTCCCTCCCGATCAGACGTTCCTCGTTGACGTTGATGGATTGAGGTCCGAGGACTGTAATATCTCCATTCCCTACAGACAGCACAGCGGCCAACCGGCTTGCACATTCATTTCCTCTTCCAGATCTCTCCAATTTATTTCTCTACTCCGGTAAAGCTTGCAATCACTCATCCAAGTCCGAGGAAGAAATCCAATTCGAAATTCGCCAATTTTTGTTGGGAAGTATCTTGGCGATTAGGGTTTCTGATATCTATCTGCCCGGAGTAGTATTCATCACCTTCCTCCCTCACTTCCTCCCCTGTTTCTGCCCGGTAAACCGCTAGAGGACGCGAGGTAGCTGACAGACGAACAAGTTTCTGCTAGGGGTTTTTGCAGGAACCCATTGCCATGGCTGACGCTTCCAACGGTCGCGTTACTATTACTCTTGGTCCTGGTGGTCAGGTATGTATACCTCTTTCGACATCTGTTCTCGAGTTGTTGCCAGTTCTTTTTCTGCTTCCCGGATGGCGTTGGGTCCTTCGGCAGCTGTATCTGCTAATTTCATTTGCTTTTGAACCTAAGATTTTTTGCGTTCTGCAAGTTAAGCTGACTTCGAAGGTGGCGACCTGACAACAGGTAGTGAAGCGTGCTGTGTCGGCTGTTGGCAATTCAGATTCGCTGCTAGGTGTTGGAGGGAAGCGCTCTGTGAGGGATCGATTAGGAGGCGACTCGGAGGGTTCCAAACGGTATGTTTGGCATCTGCCTTCCCTTTTGCTAGTCTTTGAGTTTGATAATGAGTTTGCGTTTGTTTTAACTTTGTGGCCTCTGGATTCGGCTGCTGCATTTGTGCTTAATGTGGCTCTGTTACTTCTTTGATTCGCATTGGTTAGTTCATAGAGAATTTGCTTTGCAACTGATTGATAATCACTGGGTCCCTCATTCAGGCATCGAAGCGATAATTATTTGACTGCTGTGAACGCTGCTGGTGTTAGAGGTGATGACCTTTCCTTCCATAAGCTGCGATATTTTGATTTTCTTTCTCTTGGAATATTTATGGATCACTGACCTGGTGCCTTTCAATAACTAAAGATGCACGTATTGGCAAGGGTGATCTACGATTCAAGCTCCTGCAAAAGAATGCGGGTAGAAGAGCTCAAAGTGATGATGACCAGAGGGATTTGCGAGATAAGCTCCCACGGACAACGCAATCACTTAGTCGCCTTCCTGCAAGTCTTGGTACTGGGGAGCGCATGTCAGATCCCCGGGAGACTAGTCTTATGGGCAGAATCCCTTCTTCAGGAAGCCCCAGTGAATTTTCTCGGATGGAATCATCAAGAAATTCATATTCACCTTGGACTTTGGACCATATAAGACGAAGATCTCCTGGTAGGATCATAACTGCTTCAACAGTCCCTGATAGGGTTATGCGTACGTCTAGAGGGTTTTCCCCACCAAGACACGTGGATGAAGTTCAGGGGAGGTCATTAGGCAGGTATACTGATGATGTTAGACCGGTTTCGTACATGACAAGAGACATTCATGATGCTCCAAGGTCCATGAGTAGCTCCACTCATTTCATGCCAAAACCGGGTTTGCCTACTGTTTCAAGAAAAAGTGCTGCACCAATTTCGGCTCCAGTTGCTCCAGCGATAAGTGTTCTGTCGAAACAAACATATGCAGTATGAGTCTCTTCCTTTCACTTTTACTCATTCGCAATTGGGAGAGAAAATATTTCACACACGTCTGATCATGACATGGAGGCATACATACCATGCTCGGCTTTCTGTGTTGTAGTTGAGTTGTGTGTCTTGATGTCAGAGGACTGAGGATTGTGTATTCCCGCCGTTTATTCATTGAATTATACTGGGTTGTTTTCTTCTGGTCACCTGTAGGGGGAAGAACAGCAGACTGTTGAAGGCTTATTGCATTCGCTTGGATTGGAGAAATATGCCATCATTTTCAAAGCTGAGGAGGTATGTCTAACATCCTCTGTAATTAACCCTTCTAGGATGTTGATGGATTATTCATTCCGCACATGCATTCTGTTATTACTCAATATGCCCACGAAGGCTGCATGCAAATTTGATCAGCATCTGTAAGATGTCAACTGGAGTCGCTGCAGTGAACTTTCATGTACGGTTTCATGCTTCATCTAGTATGTTGGTTTGACTGCATTTGTGACTGATGGCAGATGGCAATTTACTGTTAATACTGTTTCCATTATTCAATGACTGATTTACTCTCTAATAGTGAGAGCTGCCGTGTCGGATGCAGTGGACCTTTGATGGGCTTTCACTGAGACAGCGTTATTTGTTCATGCGAAGTCAAGTTGAACATAGGAACTCTACTCATAAATTTTGTAGCTTGAATTTGTTTCACCTGTCTGCATTTTGTGATGAAGTGTCTGGAAGCTTAGCCTGCCTGTTGAGTCAAAATATCTCCTGAAAACATCGTTTTGGTGTTATCTGACAACCAGGTGGACATGCATGCACTGAAGCAGATGGGGGAAAGTGACCTGAAAGAACTTGGGATACCTATGGTATTGTTTTCTTATCTTTAGCTGCCAGATGATATGCAATATGTACTATGTAGTCTCAAGTCCCCTTAGCTATTTGAATATTTTGTTTCTGGATCTTAATATTCAAAACTGATAAGAGTCTGAACTTATATAAGGGGGTAACTGAAGGTTTGTGAATCTCTAGTTATACTATGTGTGAAGAATTTAGAAGGCTCCCCCCTAGCCACTATCAGTTGGCATGAATTTTGTGCATAATGCTAGAATCTAGTACTGATGTCGAGATTATAGAGTGATTGAAACTTCACTGTTAGAGCTGGTGGTGAGTTTGTTTGCAGATTATTTTCTGTTTGCAGATGTACTCCAATGTTCAACATGTGTTCTCTTTGGGCTAGTTTAATTAAATTGTTTCCTGTGTGTAGTATTTATCTTTGGGTAGTATTTATCTTTGGGGTAAATACAATATATTAGGCACAACTATTATGAAGCGGGGAATTATATCCACAACTATGAAAATTAAATTTATTAGCCATAACTACGGTTGCGGGTCAAGATATGGCTAACTGTCCGTTACTGTTATTGAATTTTTGACGGAGAAGGCCACGTCATCGGCCACAGCAGCGACCACGTCGGAATGCTTTTAATTTATAACTTTAATACATAGAAGTTTAGTCAGTATTACTAACAAAATTGTTAACCGGTAGTTAATGTTTGGCTAATAATCTGAATTTCCATAGTTGTGGCTATAATTCCCCGCTTCATATTAGTTGTGGCTAATATATTGTATTTACCCTTATCTTTGCTCTGGTTGTAACTTGTTACGCAATATATGTCCGTGGATGGCAGGGGCCTAGGAAGAAGATTCTTCTCTCCCTTCCGCCTCATTCTAAAAGACAACCTCGGTGATGAGATGCACCTTGCAACGTAGCGTGACGGGTTCAACTTTAGTAGCAGAGTCAGAAAACTCGCTCTCGAAACCAAGTTACCAACAGCACCATGCGTTCTTCAAATTTGCACACTGGACTTGGGGGGTGTTGCTAAAATACTGATGGAAATGACGAGGTTCCAAGATCTTTTGGTTGACATATCTTTCGCCTTTGTACCTTGTTTTTTGTTTGTTTTTGTTTTGGTTTTGTTTTTGTGATACTGTGAACTAAATGCAGGATTTGCTAAGCTGGCGGTATTTTTATGAAGAGGGTCAAATGTAAAGATGTTCCTAACTGAGTCAGTTTTTCCAGTTATTGCGCAAATTTGTTTTGTACCTCCGATTCCATTAATTCTGTGAGCTAGGGGTGGGCATTGGGTGGGTCGGGTGGATTTTGACCATAAAATGAACCCACTCGCGCTTAAACGGATTGATAATTTTTAACACACCACCCATCCATATTTAGTCTCGGGTTGGGTCGGGCGGATGGTGGATGATGCGGGTGGGTTTGTCGGTTCACCCACATCACAATGTATATAATATAAAGGAGTCAACTTGACATGATAATAGGTGAAGAGAATCATCGAGGGAAACAAGAAGTTGAAATAGGGCGAAAAATGTGGAATTAGTTCTTAACTTGGATAGAAATTCTATTATGAAAGAGTTTTCTACAGATTGAGACGATTATTAGGTGCAAGGAACTAATGAAAATAATTCTACAAAGGAAAGAGCGGTGATCTAAGCACAAGAATTAGAGGAAAAAGTAAAGGGAAGAAGAGGGGGTCTCTATTTGGAAGGTTGGCTTTGAGGTTCAAACTCCAGGAGCAGTCCGAGTTTATATCTAACGTCTCCACTCTCCTCTCTCTAGCGCCAACGACTTTGATCTTTTTGCTGTTGGGTTGAGCGGGTCACCCGCACACTCACCCACAACCCACCCACCACCCGGCGGATGGCTCCCAGCGCAACCTGTCACCCACCCACAGACCCACCCACTTAACCAAATTCGGGTCAAATGCAGGTGGGTCGGCCCAAACCCGCGGATGATCCGCCCGCATGCCCAACCCTAGTGTGAGCTGTGTAGTGCCTAGTGTGAACTTCTGTGTTGCCTTTGTAGGTGATTTTATTGACAAAAATCAAGAATTTCTTCGTTGCCTTGTAGCATGTGGGTGATTCGAGTAGTAAATCTTTCCATCAATATGTCAAAATTATGAACTCGAAGAAAACAAATTGAAGGTTGGTGACAGAGGAAGGGTGGGAGCTCACTAATAGCATATGAGTTTTCATCATCATAATCTGCTAGTTTGAGTTGGAATGCCATTTAGATACATTGTATCACAACATTTATCTAATTTTTTTTTTAAATTATTTAAAATGTTTAATTTCATATGATATTAAGTGACATCAAAATTATTGGTCCATTTTCTTCATTATTTATAGAATTAATTGGATCGGACCATATTATAGTTAGATAAGTATGGCCAGGTCTAAAGGTCGGTTTGGTCCGGTGAGGTCCAGTATGTCAAGCTATTCATGACTTGCATATTTAATAATGCAGTCACTTAGTTGTTTGTGGTTGGAAAAAACTGACATGACAAAAAAAGAATTTAGATGACAAAACTTAGTGTAAATATGGGGGAAAACAGAACCACAACCTTTTAGCCATTATTTTATTTCTCTTGACATGAGACACAATACGTACATATCAATGTGAGCGAAAGAATCATAATTGTTGAGCAACGGTCTAAAGTTTATAAACAATCAAATGAATTGATTACACATAATCAATGAAGACTTTAGGGTTTCTAATATGTAATCAGTATTAATTAGCGCATGAAATAATAACAGAAGGGGATTTCAAAGAAGATGAAATTAAACAATCAATTACAAGATGATACACAACATAGATCAATACATGAATTTTTTCAAGCTGTGATACTTAATGTAAGATTTAAAAGAAGATAGAAATTGAATTATCAATTATTATATTCTAGACATTCAAAAAGTAAACTTTATGACTTGCAACAAAAGACATCAATCACTAATCACACATGCTTTACCATAGGTTGGTTGAGAACTCAGCCACTACTTCGCAATCAAGAAAAAATGTAATTTTATTTCCAAATATTCATTTATATTTTCTTTGTTTATCATGTTTGCTTTGCTTGAAATATATGGACATCCAACCTATAACATACAACTCTACATGTTTATATTAGACCATGATGATGATGACTTGAAAACCATAATATGAGAATATGAGTACAAAGAATAAGAAAGGATTGAAGCACATGTAATGAAACTATGTAGGTCGACTCATTGAAGCATATCTATACATGAAAGAAACAAGATGAAACAAAGATATGCAGACACACGAAAAGGAAGGGCAACAAATGAAAAGAATAACACAACATATTTTTATAGGAGTACTACAGAGGGGAAGAAAATCCAATTTTTCTATCCATCATCCTCTTTGCCAGTTAATCCGATGAAATAAGTTTCCAAATACTAGTTATCCAATATAAATTTTATCAAAACTTAAAATAAAAAAGAATGACAATAGGTGTGGGTGGACCCGATTTTTCTATTAAAATATCAACCATCCACATAACAAAAAGTAGGTAGGGATGTTATATGAGTATGACAATGATATATAAATTTTTTGATATAAAGTAAATTTTCTCTTACAATCTCAATCCTACAGGTAAGTTTGTTAAGACATTATTCATAAAAATAAGTAAAAATGAGCAAATTTGGGCTTAAGAGATAATTATAATATTTGAGAGATATAAATGATTGATGCTTAGGTTAGGTGGGTGCAGATGCTTAAAATATCAAAATCCCACCAAACTCATACTTTCTATGTCGAGTTCGGGAAAAATCACCCAAAAATAATACCAGTTGGATTTTTTCCGATCAAATCAATTCAAATTTGGTTGGTACTCATGGTGTTGAGTTATTTCGTTATCCCTAAATAAAAGTTATCACATTTCTTTCTTGGTTATAGTTTCATCAACTTCACAAACCACTAGTATAGTGCCATAAGTAAATGAGTCATGGAAGGGCAAGAATACCAAATACCCTAAGGTTGGTTACCACCAATACATTCTAAAGTTGAGAGGTCTGAAATTGGCAGGGCAGACAAACAAAATAGTTCATTTTATTGAAAAAAATAAAGTTCAAAATTCAACTATACAAAGCCTCGCGGATACGCACGTGGTGGTATAGGGTCAACATTGTTTGGACCCAAAACCATCCCAACATTATCAGGAGCCATGTGTGGTCTGGCTTGTGTAATGTTTTGTAGAGCAAAACCTTGCACAGATGGTGGTTCCTCAACATGGACCTGAGATGAAGTGACGTGACTCTCGCCAACATTCACCCTCTGAGGCGTTGGTACGATGGTTGCCGCCCGTGTAGGATTTCTCGGCCGTGGCTGGTCACCTCGACGACCACTGTTGAATGGCAGGTTAACATTTTCACTTTCAAGATTTGGAAAGTCTTGACCAGCTGAAGATAAAATCCTAGTTTGTAAAATTGGTCTGTTCAACAATTGCCTAAACTTACCCAAATCATTCGTATTTTTGTTCACCATCTCAAATAATTGAGCAAAACATCTATCATAACGCAAACTCAAACCATCAATGCGCTCATCCAAAGAAGCAAGACGAAGGGTTACCTGCTGGTAGTTTCTGTTCAACCCAACCACCTGTTGGCGAGTCTCCTCCACCATTTGGCTAACTGATGGTGCTGCTTTACTAGGATCTGCATTAGGCACCATGGTTGGCGCATCTCCTCTAGCATTGTTTCCTCCTACTTGGTCAACATCAACATTAACCAACCGCTCCTCCTCCATAGAATCTTGCAAAGGATCACCATCTTGAATCCTTCGTCGCGGAGTCATATCAAACACACGTTTTCCAACCAGGTGTGCCAATATGTTTTTGGTGGAATTTCGCGTGATCAGTGCACCCTGACTTCAAGAAAACAAAAAACGATGTTACTCGGTTCACACCTCTTCAAATACTGTTCGAACGAGGGTGTTCGATGCATACATCAAAGGAGGGTGGACGAGACTGTTTGTGATTTGATTTTTTTGTCCCTCTTCCAAAGCCTTGTAGCAAGTTTTGTTGTGCATCACCCTCTAACCGCCTTGTCTCTCTTTCCGAAAATTAGCTCCACATAGCATCCTCTACCTCTTCTCCGAGCGTCATTTGCAAGTCAGTTGATGCTTCCAGTAGCCACTGTCGACACGTCATCATGTCACTAGACAATCAACCCTGCGTACAATGGATGGGCAATTGGATGGTCACCTTATACCAAATAACTTGGATGGTATCCATGTGACTAAGACAACACTCCATGGATGGTAACCATCTTAGATGGTCACCATAAGATAACATGGATGCTAACCATCCTAGATGGTCACCATACCGTAACATGGATGACACTATCCATTTAATAGTTGAGTTAGTGTCCATGATATGGGATGATACCATCCTTTTGGGATTGGATGGTATCCATGTTACGGGATGGCACTATCCAGTATCCACTTTGAGTTAGGATAGTGTCCATGATCTTGGATGACACCATCCAATTAGAGGTTGGATGGTAGTCATGATTAATGGGATGATACCATCCATAATAGGGTTTGGATGGTATCTATGATGTTGGACACTACCATCCATTTGTAGGGTTGGATGATGTCCATGGTTGGTACATTAACAATCTTGGATGGTTACCTCATACCGAGCTACCATCCACCAAACCTACGACCCAACTTGATTAATTGGATCATCCATGTACACATGGACCAACTACTTAGAGTGGCCAAGTTGATCATATATGCAATAATTAATGAAAATTATTTTGGTGTAAACACGGGGTCACTGGGTCGGTTCAAATCAAGTCACTGGTTTTTGAATATTATATTTTGGTGCATAAATTTATTTTTCTTATAATTTAGTACCTAAACTTTATTTTTTACAAATAGGTCTAAATTTTTTTGTGGTATAATTATGTTTTATTACCTTTGTTATAAACGCGCTGCTACGAATCGGGAAATCACCGGAATTGACAAAGCAAGAATACGAAAGCGAGAATCGAAAAACACAGACACACGATTTACGTGGTTCACTAACACGATGTGTGTTAGCTACGTCCACGGGCGAGAGAGAGAGCCAGTTTCACTATATCGAGGAGATTACAGATTACAGAGGAGTATGAGAAGTATTTATAGTACTTCTCCATGTGGGTCTAAACCTAACCCAATCTGGCAAATGAAACGGTTACAGATCAGGCCCAGAACCCGAACCCAAATAACATTGAGCCCATACACCGTGGGCGGGTGATAGTCCGATTCAAGTCACATCAACAACCT